TCAGAAGGAGAAGATACAAAAAAATCAAATAATCCGAGCAAATTTCATGAAATACTACTTAAGAACGCTACAGAAAAAGTTCGGTGATCAGCCATTCAATAAGTACAGTAGCGGCCTTAAAAGGGCCAGTCATTCATTGGAAAAAAATTGATAACAAACTACTTAAGAATGCTACAAACAAAGTTTGGTGATCATCCATCAATTAGTTCAGTAAAAAAGACGTTTTTAATGTTTTTTTTCTATTTTTTGCTCTGTTGACTCATATAAGCGGCCAATTGAAAAGATACACGTTAGCAATTAAAAAGTGACTGTCACAAGGGTGCTACAGCCAGAATTTGATCAACACGGAATATCGGTAACAAAGTTTATAACAAAGTTTTTGCTACAAACCTAAATAAAATAATTTCTTCTTTAGCTTACATTTTATTATTATGCTTTTTAGATCATTTGGTATTAATAAACATCATCAGTTCTTATTATGTTTTCTATTAATAAGATTTTTTCAAACTGATTCATATAATTAAGAAAAGAAAAATAGTCGGACCACACCACAGACTATTTGCTGACTCATAGTTGGAAATAATTGAATTGATTATTTAGGGGAATCAATGCTTAGAATACACAACAGTTTACATAAAGTTAACTAAGTATTGGTTACAACAAAAACTCTCGGAGCAAAACTGGTAAAAATTAACAGTTGAAGTTCAAGTTTAGATGGTAATATGTATAGCTTAAACGGGGTTTTCGGTTTCTATCTTAATATTAAAAGACACCTTTTTTGAGACAATTTTTCTCCTATAAATAATTATAGAGTAAACTCAAGTCGAAAAATTTTTCTATCACATGTAAAAAATGCTTTACAACAGCGGAATAGTTTCATGGTTTTTCGTTTAATTGGAAATAGAATTTAAATAATTTTACAGGCCCTTTCCCCCCAGCCTTTTAATTATTTTTCTTTTCTCTTTTTTTTAATTAATTTTTAATAATAAAAATTAAAGGAACGATTGTTAAAACCAAACAACCAGTTGCGTAACTATACAAAAATCAAGACATATGATACAAAATTGAAATGAAATAGAAATAACCAATTTTATTCCTTTTTAATTACAATAAAAAGCAACATTATTATAAAATTCCAACATTTACATTAATGAAATTATTCCAAAGAAAAAAAAGAAGATAATTTTGATAAAGATTGTTAATGAAAGTAGCAAAAGCATCAACAAAATCATGTAAGAATAGTACACAATTCTTATTCGTTATAACTAAAATTGATTCGAGCTATCTTTTCAATCAAGTTTACTTTATTACACAATCGACATACATGTATATGGTAGTAATAAAATATATATGCAACCGGATCTGTTGACTACATAGGTAATCTTTGACTTTTGAATAGTATTTATTAGTATATATTTTATTTTTAGTTCTTACAGCAGCTGCGTCGAATTTTCATCTCTGTTTTCTTCATCGGTTGGTAGTATCCTTTCCAAGGTCGCCAGACAGGTCCAATGGCGTATGCGTTATTCCCATAGTCACCGTTCAGGTTTGAAGCATGACATTTTGTATACCACCAAGCGCCATGGTAGAGTATCGCGCACTGACCGATGTAGACATCGTTGTCCCTATCATATTGAAAACTTCATTCCATTTCCATGCGCGCTCGATGACAGGGCGTCACCGGCTGTACCAGTATACCCACGTACGTAAAGTTTATACCCAGAATCTTCGTTACCAATAGAGAACTCATCATACTCCGCATAAGCCGTTTCACCAGAAAAACTTGTCAAATCAATTCGTAGTTCGTATCTCCCCTGCCTTACAATCTTATGAATGTTTTCATTTCCAAGCCAGAAATTCGTGTTTAGATCTCCAAATCCTGTTTTGTATGCCTCCCAGTTCCTATAAAAATTCGAATCAGATATACGTCTTTGTATCACGGTCCATCCTCCCGTAGATGTATCCATGTCACATCTGACTGGAATTCCCTCATCCTGCTGGTATGGAAATATTTCGTATGGTCCAGTTGAACTGTAATTCCCCACCTGAATATCACTACAGTCAATTGGTTTCGCCGAAGAAAACGTTCCTCCAATTAAAGAAACAAGTATAATAATATTGAGATCCATCATTTAAAATTCACTAATCTTTATTGTGATATTTGTGCTATGGAGACGTTTGACGTTTTTGAAAAGGAAACAGAAAATTGAGTATCCTTATAGTTGTCTATCCAAATGCGTGAATGGTTCATTTTTTATCATCAATGTGATTTTAGCCAATTACTTTCAAGTTTCTACTCTTCCGGATGACACCATGATTGTTTCTTACGACAACATCAAAAACCATATTTCATATCGATAGAGACACTCCCCACGTTTCACGATAAAGTTATCATTCACAGATCGAAAGAACACACGTGTAATATAAAAAATAAAATACAAGTACTTCCTCATAGGGATATATTCTACAAACCTCCTAAATAAAATAATTTTTCTTTCAGCAAACATTTTATCTTTAGATTATTTTTTTCAGATCATTTAGTTGTAAAAAATCATACATACTTTTTATGTTTTCTTTTTATAAGTCTTTCTCAGAGTCTTATGATAAATAAGAAAAGAAAAATAGCAGGATTACTCCAGAGCCTATTCGCCCGTTTTCCCTCCTTTCAAAAATCACAAACTTACTTATTTAGTAGGTGATTAACGATGTTACACTGCAAATTTGGAATGTAACTAATGACATATCGAACTATAAGGTATGTGATGATGACAATTTCAATAAACATCAAAGGATGAACAACTTCGCTTCGTTTTCCGACCGAGTTTGTTTTTGGGGATTTTTGTTTAGCAGCTTTTACTGCTGCTGACCTGTTTGTGATTTTCTATGAATAAATCATAACATTAGAAAAGAATTCCAAAACGAATAGTGTAAGTAATGTTAATGGAACTAAAATCATACACTAGTACGATTTCTTTGACTGGTGGTGTGGTACCTCAATTTTATTACTATTGACAGTTCTGACATTGTCAGACCTGTTTAGAGGAAAGCAAAGCTGAAATTAATAAAAAAGAAACTGAATTGTTAAAAGTAAGAAAAAGGAGAAAACTTACTTCAATTCATTCAAATTACCAATCACCAAATATCGTCTCTAAAGTCTTGTTTCATTTTTTACAGTCTGAAAAATACAATTCCGTTACATGTTAAACTGCTCTTGATGGCATTTGGGCATATTTAAGTATCATACGAGCAATTACTGCCTTAAACTTGTAAAGCAATGACAGCCATCAGCCCGAAGAATAAGTAAGCAACCCAGCGTTCGTAAGGCAGCCTTTCAAAAATTCCATGTTTTCCTATTTCCTAGCCGCTTTTTGAATGTTTACACATCAGTCAACACTTTTTTATTGTCTGTCAATCCTTAAATAAGTTTTTCGTTCTCCTAAAAAAGATGTATGACATACAAATCCAGATATCCCTCTGAATCAAACACAATTTAAATCCTCCCGTGAAACAACTTTTAAAAATGGCGGCCGCATACATTTCACAGAGCCAGGTCTAATATAAATTCACCGTAATAAGGATGAATGGTTTGACTTTTTCTTCTACTTCAATTGTTTGTTTTTATTATTAAAACAAACGATCATTCATATTATTTCAATAATATTAATAATATCATCGCCATTTAACGTTGATTGTCGATCTATTTTTTCAGCCCAAGACTTTTCGTATTCTATGAGAATTCGACTAAATGAGGCTACCAGTGGCAAAACATATTAACATATTAAAGTTAATATTAAGGAAATTTCATTTAACCTTGTTTTTAAGCATAAAATAAAACGAAAACTATTTTGTTTGTTGTGTAAGATGTAATTTTATTTCATCTCGTGAATTTTAAAAAACAGTATTCTCACTCGTGGCTACGTCACTCGCGAAAATACTGTTTTTAAAGCTCACTCAATGAAATAAAATTTCATCTTACACACAAACAAACAAGTAAACTCTATATAATGCCGTATATTCTTGATTTTTTCATACCAGATATGAAGGGGATGTTTTAACGAAGTCCATTGTTTAAGTAGGAATCAGTTACACTTAATAACGTCACCTTAACGTTCTAATATAGCTTTTTGTTGGCAATAAAACATCTTTTTCAATCTTCTGTTTAATGCATGCCATGTTTTAACCAATAATTTTGCGCGTCAAGCCATTAATTTATAAATTACGCCACTGTGAAAAAAATGTTTTTGAAGCTCATTCGATGAAATAATCCTACATAAAAACAAAAAAAAGATGAGCAATGTGCATGTAATTTACAGTTTGTAATTTACTGATGTATTTGTTAAGCAATAAACTACGGTGGCACAATGATTACATATGTATGGAAGCTTGAATTGACCCCCGAGATGCCGTGGTCCGTGAAAAATTTTATGTGGTCACGTTGATATATATTAGTGCGACATGGCTTGTTTTATCATGGTGTTGATGGAGAAACATAGAATCTTTACAACATCTGTATCAGACCATGTCGACATAACTTATGTCTATTATAAAACAGGACGGGGACCATTTGAACGTCATAATTATTATTCGGAAACTAAATCCCGCCCATCGAGTAATGACTGACGTACTGTGTAACTATATCGTTGATTTTATTTATAAACTAGATACATGTACTGTGTTAGGGGGCTTGGCCATTTTTGGCTTCATCAATACTTTTATTTTATAACGACTTAATATTTCTGTTCGTTTAACAACCTATCCATGTTAAATTTGAATCTCTTTTTGTCTAGAAAATTATAGTAGGTCTATGATTGAAAGAAATTTAGGTCTCGCTAGATATTAATTTTCCAACGCTACTGGTAGCAAAATATAATGTTGCAAATCGGTTCAATTGTTACAGACGAATAATATGGTAACGGTTTGTCACAAACATTGTAACAGTCCTGATAGGTGTATTATTTCAAAATTTATTGCCTTGATACTGTGCATTAAATGAGCTCCAATGAAGTCTAAAGTTATTTAATATTTGAACGAAAGCATATGAAAAATATAATAAAAAAATAAATTTCTTTTTACGTCATTTTGCAGGAAATAAATGATCAGTCTCGAAATATAGAATGAATAATGCAGGAATCGGTTACGACCTTCACTAAATAACATAAAATAACAAATATATATGTCATGTGTCTTAAAGACAAGAACCGCTGTAGAAACATTTAGGATACATTTCATATCGATTGTGCCCGATCATTCAACCGTTACCAAAACCTTATTTTTGTAGCAACGCTCCAAGCTGTCCTTACGACAGCACCACCGGCAGTGGCCCCATTATTAATCAAGGCAGAACCAACGTTTGATGAAGCTGCCGCAGTTGCCATTGAACCGGCTGATCTAACAAGAGCACCACCTAAAGCTCCAGCATTGCTCATAACGGCTGCCCCCAATCCCGATGCAGCAACAACATTTGTCCCGGCAACACCGACAGCATATCCCACACCCATTGCTCCTCCACCTAGCAGTACACCACCAAATAAAACTTTTTTCCAGATTTGTTGATCTAATTTCTTACCCAGCTTGTCAATAATGTCGGAAATATCCTCACGAAGGTTGCCTTTTCCTTGATATTTTATAAAATGTTCTTCAATTACTGATCTGTGGATGTTTACATATTTGTAGCTATAGCAATAATGTCCGCCTTCTGTCAGCTCTTCGATTATATTCTCAATTTCATGTACACCTTCATTTCGGTTAAAGTAAGCATCGTCATTCTCTATTTTGACAACCCTGTTTCCACACTTTTTTATTAGGTTAACGAAATGTTCATTTTGTGTCCAAAACTTCTTAAACTTTTCATCAGACTCAAACATTTCGCCATGTGTGAAAACGACTATGGTATGATTGAATACCTTTTCTCCAAAAATAATCCGGAGTATATCTATAGTGAAGCATTCGTCTTCTGTCATACGATTTCCGGCGCTAAAGACCAAAAGAAACACATGCGGATTTGGACAGATTTCAACTGACTGTTGAATATCAAGTGCTCTTTCGCCAACACGCTTTGTTGTATCAAGTAAGCCGGGTGTATCAATTAAGGTATACTGCAAGGTATATGATTCATTTGTCCCTGTTTTCAACAAGCACTTTTCTGTTACAGGATTCGGGCTGAGGTCATGGACAAAAGCATGCTTTTGAAGAATAGAATTTCCGGTAGAACTTTTCCCGTTGCCAGTCTTTCCAACTAAAATGATTCGTCTTTCATGTAAGACAGTTTTATCTTCTCTCTGAAAGTATATATTTATCATCGCTGTTTAACATTTCGTCAAATAATGACCTAAATGCCGATATGATGGCATGTTATGGAGAAGTCTAATCTAATTTATCGATTATTACTGTCCTACATTAGTTGCTCATATCTTGAAAAGTGTTACTATAATCTACTGATATACTTTTGAATGAATAAAAACTTCAAATTCTTATGTAAACAATAAAGATCTTTATCTATGTTCTAATGTTTCTAATGATTATTTTTACCACATGTTAGCATCAATAAACTCTTTCTACTATCATTTTTTATCACAGACTTACGATTCTTGTACATTTCATTTAAATACAATAACTACTAGCAATATATGTAGAAGTTATCAATTGTTTAACACAATTGTTACATATTTCTAATAATTATTTTTACAAACGAACAGAAAAGAGAAAAAGGAAGCTCAAAATGGCAAAATTGTTACAAAGGAAGAATGCTAAAGCAACAAATATAAAATGGAAAAAACGTATATTTTTCCGGTTAAACATATTGCATAGGGAATTTATCAAAGTACAAATATTGTCCCATAGTCAATTGCCTTGGTCTTGTTTATTAAATAAATTCTATTGAGATCCAAGTCTGAACACGTAAAAGTTGAACATCTAACACAGATAGTTTGGGCATTCAAAACGGAAACATATACTAGAAAAACATAAAAATCAAGGATATACCCAGAACTAAATATTATTTAGACAGCTAGTGCCATGCATAGCCCAAATTGTGTTTAAAATGATAGATAATTTCTTTTTAAGGTCATTATGAACAGTATAAATGATTATTTTGGAAATATGGAGTTAGCAAACGATGTGGTATAAAAGCACAAAAATATATTTCCTGTTCCGTTATGTCAAAAACCACAGTAGAGTCCTTTTGTGACACATTCCTTATGCCCGATCATTTTTTTTCCTGTTTGTGACAACGTTCCAACCTGTCGTTACGACGGCTCTACTAGCATTGGCTCAATTATTAATCAAGGCAATGCCGAAGTGTGATGAAGCCGCCGAAATTTCAATTGAAGTGAACGTTTTAACAAGAGCGCCAAATGAAGCGCAAGTATTGCTCATAACGGTCGTTCCTAATCCTGATGCGACAATGGCATTTGTCCCTGCAGCACACACAAGAAACAATACACCCATTGCTCCTCCAGAAAGAAAATAACATTTATTTTCAAGATATTTAAAAAATGCTATTAATATGCTCAATTTCATTTGCAGCTTAATCCTTTATTTCGGTCAATGTATTCATCATTAATTCTTAATTTTGCATCCCCATCTCCACACATTTTTATTGGTTTGACAAAACCAGTGATTTATCAGACTCAAATATTCTGCAGTGTTTGAAAACGACAATGGCGTGGTAGAATACATTATTCGGGGTACATTTCGTCACCTTAGTGCAAAAACTCAATAACTGCATATAGATAAAGAAGCAGATATTGAGTTCTTGCACTAAGGTGACGATTATTTTATTATAGTATCTTCTGTCATGCGATTCTTTTGCGCTAATGACAAACAAAAACGTATGCGAATTTGGGCAGATTTCAAACCGAATGTAGCCCTATCGCCTACACACTTTGTTGTCTCAAGTAAGCCAGGTGTATCTATAAATGTATAAGACAATGTATATCATTAACTCACTTATAATTACTCAGTTGTCCAAGTATTCAATAAACAGGATTCAGACTTAGTTCATGGATAAATGCTTGTTTTTGAAAAATTAAATATCAAGTCGAACTTTTTTTCATTGCCCGTCTTTCCAATTAGGACGATTTATCTTTCACGTAATCTTATTTCAGGCTCATTTTGAAAGTAAGTATCTGTCATGGCTGATAGAAATATACGTCAAATAATGACTTTAATGTCAAAAGTTGTAACAAAGCAAGAAGTGTAACCATTAATGCTCGCGATGCCTTTTCTTCCACACGTATGATCATGCAGTTTGTTAATAAGTGCCCAGCTGCGACTCTCTATGACCTACTCATGTCATTAAGTTTTAAAACGGGCTGACTTGTTGGTGAGCTTGGAGACACTCTGACGCACTATAAGGCTTAATTTGTCATGGCTCCTGTAACACAGTCAGTAGAGATCAGAGCGAGATAGGTCTATTTTCATATACGTTAGTTATTTCGTACCAAACTCACTTCATTAGATATACCTGATATTCCTGATATTTATACAGTATGAACATTTAAATTATCAAAATGAAATAAGCGCGCGTTTCATTTTTAGCAGTTTGCATGTTCAATTCTGGACTGGTGATGTGTAAAAGCAAACTGTAATAAAAATAAATATATTACCTGGCGTCGGTACATGATTGTTACTGACGTTAAGTCCAAATCGAAAGTAATTCAAAACGCTATAGATAAAGGATACAGAAAGAATGTCGAACAAATTGAGCGAGTGTTATCAATTAATATGTTTGTAAACTATCTAAAGATATCGTAAAATCACAGTGCAGATAACAAAATGTTTTATAAAAGAAAGACGTGCGGTAGAAATCAATAAAACCAAGCGTGTGGTAATGCAAACATATTGTTATTGTTTAAATTGTATTTTAGTGCATATGACAAAATTTCTTTAATAAAAGAAAGGTTCTGTTTAAAAGTAATTGCATGAAATGTAATGCAAAGATGTTCTGTTCTGCTATTTTCTGAACGTGTAATAAAGTTGGTAAAGTTGGATGTTACATATAATTAAGCATACAATGGTGAAAAAGTTTAAATGCATACATTACACATGCATTACCTTACATTATAAATGAGAATTTTCAAGTCAACTCTAAATATTTAGATATTCATTTCCTTTTATATTGGTCTCTTTGGCTTTATTGAAGTTTGTTCATAAAGATTATGATTTTGAATTGGAATAAGTGACCGTGACTGTGAATTAATGTATAAAGTAATTGACAGATTTTCCTACACAACCTGTCTATTTTATATAACGGTTAAAAATCTTTTTGTAACACTGATCAATTGTAACATGATATAACAACTAGTCAGGCCACTTATATCTATGTATTTATATCTGTATTTTAGATGTAATAAAGATTATGGCAGTTTATCTAAAATAAATACTTCAGATTTTCTATATTTATATCAACGTATTAAACGTTGACGAAATGCACATGCCTGAAAGGGAGATAATGTAAAAACGGGGACGTTTGTCATACAAGTTAGGAGTAATCTCACTCCGATTAGCACTTAAATTCCTGAAAGTCAGCGATGATGCAAGAAACATTGCCAGATTGGTGCTTTGAATTCGGGAGAGTTCATACACAGCACACAATGGTCATTATCTTTACTAAAACTAAAGGTTTTGCAAATGTGCACGCTCATGTAACAGTGAAAAATTGAATAGATAATTGATAACTTAAACTCGTTCATATGATAAATGATAAAACGCATTGAAAATCCATAGCGTGTAAGTTTAAACAATTTAAAATTTGTAATTTTATAATGAGACAGGTGTTGCTTTTTATTGGTTAAATCTCACCGACTGCTTTATTTTTTAATTTGATAAAGGAATGTTATAGGATACACGCACTCGTCTGAGATCGCAAAAAAGGATAAGCCCATTAAAGATCCCGTAACATTTTATATAATTTAAATTGAAGAAAGAAAAATTTTTTTTTGATGTTAAATTTAGGTAGATTTATTCTGATAGAATTACATGTCATAAAACAACTACAAATTCAACGTCAACATCAACTAATACATGTGAACATGAAAGTACATAACAGTTGTTAAAAGATGGTTTTCAAATGACTAACAAAATAATTTCGACGGTCATAATGTACTAAGTCGCTAAGTTATCGTCGGAAAAACCCTACGGTAGTGTATGTTACTACAAAAGCTTAGGACATTTTACTGATTATTTCTGAGAACTTGCAAAACAGTGTATTCCTACATATATGGCGTTGATCAGAAATTTGCAGAAAATCACGCAAAAGAGACAGACAGTTTCGCAAAGCATTGAATTCTAACAGATCATCAGACTGGGCATTATATTAATAATTAAGAAAAATACAGTTGATAAAAAGCACGCAAAAGAAATATTTTATAATAACCTGGAATTCTCCCTTAATGACTTAAATTCTTTATGTCAGCGTTAATTTTGCCATCGATGCTTGCAAAGGAAAAGTCGTCGTATAATTTGAACTGAATAACTGTAACTATTCAATGACAAGTTTTGAAAAAGGTAATAGGTTTAATGAATTTTTTGTTTTCATGGAAGACCTTAACGAATCTTATACTGACCTTCCAGATTTCTTTTGAGAACACAAGCAGTTCTTAAAAATATTACAATATGCGAATAGGAATTTTGGCAAATCTATCTGTAAAATAAAATGTTAAAAGGAACTTCGAACCAATTTCTTCGCTAAATTAACGTTCAGAGAAAATATATCCGTCTAGTTGGGGATAAGAACATGTAATTCCTTTGTTTTAAAAAGGTGACAAAGATAAACCGTCATATTACATGCCTAATTCTCTCATAAGTTGTACTTTTTGTTTTAAACATGTTTTTTACTATGTACATGAAAATGTTTAAATATTTCAAAATCAGTCAGGTTTCTTGCCAGGTCATTCAACTGTTTTTCAACTTATAGGTATATATGATCAAATTTGTAAAGCTTTAGACAAAAAAGAATCTACATGTATGGTTTTCTGTGATATATCAAAAGCGTTCGATAGAATTTGGCATAAGGGTTAAAATTTCAAATTAAGATAGTACGGAATTTCAGGTGATTTTACTCATTTGCTTGAGAATTATTTAGTGAATAGAAACCAGAAAGCTTTTGTTGGGATTTCCTTTTCTAAGTTGCGTTACCTTCATGGCAGTGTCCCTTAAGGCTCGGTTCTTGAGCCTCTTTTGTTTTAAATTTGCGTTCATGATATTGCTGATTAGTTAGTTGTAGGTTGTGTGAATGTTGAAGACACGTTTCTTTGCGGTCAACTTAATTATGAATTTTAATGATTTTGAATTAGATAAATGGGAACTAAAACTTTTACTTTTGTAATTGTGAAGTGCTGTAGACAAGGATATGCGATTTTAATATTTGGAATTTGCTTACTTTTGGAATAATTTGAGTTTGAAATGAGTGACTTTTGACATTTTTATTTGTATATTTTTTTCCATGAAAACTATCGATGACGTTACGCACAATCTAATTTTGGAGATCTTTTGTTAACTAAAGGTGAATAAGAGTGTTTTTTTTAACGTTAACGGCTGTGTAATGTTATTGAAAAATAGATGTGAAAAAGACATATGTAAAGTATGATTTATTAAATTGAAATCTGAGAAAAAATAATAAGTGCAAAAAACTTTAGTAAATTAATACATATTCTGATGTTAAGAAAACCACGGCGCCTACTGCTTACAGCAGTCTTCACTATGGATTTCGGACAATTGACGATAGTCTTATCAATTTGATGATGAAAACTGTATATAGTTTTTTCAACCATCGTGGTTTCGTTGTTTTGTTATTAAGACTTTTCACCATCGTATTCGACTTTGCATCATCGTATCCTCGACTTTTCATAATTGTAGTTTCGTTATTTCGACTCGTCACCACCGAGTTTTCGTGTTTTCGTTGTGTCGAGTTGTGTGTGTGTGTGTGTGTGTGTGTGCGTGCGTGTGTGCGTGTGTGTGTGTGTGTGTGTGTGTGCGTTGGTGTGTGTGTGTGGGTGTGTGTGTCGCGATGGATAACGCTTACAGGATACCGTTTAAAAGACCTTAAGAAGACCTTTAAATCATTCAGTCTCCTACCTGTAAAACCAATAGTTGTTTTATGTCTGTTGGTATTTTCCAAGAAAGACGACTCTGTCAGCCTTGTTTTATTTTATGCTCAACATTTTTTATTTATGCCCATCTAACCAAAACGCTATGTGTTCTCATTCGATATAAAAATTAGAAGAATTGGTTATTTCGATACATTTCGATATCTTGTGTTCTATGTATTACTGTTAAGATATTAAGGATAGAGGAATTGATCATGTTTTATGTCTAGGTAATTATTACATCAAAGTTTTGAGTGATAGAGCTTTTACGAAAAAAGTCTGAACCACATGTGGATTTGTGCTCTTTTGTAAGACATAATTTTACATAAAGTATACAATTCCTACTGAATTATAATAAATATGATACTTACTACTAAAATAAAAGAGAAAAGCCTGTTAAACAGAGAATAGCAGGATTCTCAAAGAACGCTCAAAACGAGAAAAATTGAAAATGTTACAGGCTATGTTTGTTTGATTGATTGACTGTTTATGGGCGGTACTGGATTTTAATGTTCTGCGTTAAGCAGAATTTAACATTAAAACATGAAATTTTGAATTTTTAAACATCAGTAGACGTGTAGATACGGCGGTTTACCCAAAACCTTTAATGTGAAACGTTCATGCCGTTCTCATGAAAAGCAGTACATTGTCCGTAGATAAAACAATGTGTGTGTCCTAGACGAGAAAACAATAGGTTTGAACGAAATGGAATTTTGAAAGAGAATCATAGGTTATGAAGCCTGCGTGTCAGTAGGAAAAAAGAAAAATGAGAAAGGAATTTTGAGGCGATTTAGAAAATGGAAACGTAATAAGGAGTGCAATGTGTTATCACGAATGCGTTTCAAGGTTAAAGAAAAACAGATACTGCCTTTGTTAGTTTTAGAATGAACCATGGGCGTGCTTCCAAGTTCATCAACAGAAAAAAAAATATTTTAATGATTCAATTTTGATTTAAACAAACGTCCCGAACAATAATGAACTTAAATATAAGGAAGCTATAATGCGTATTTCCATTTGAAAGTTTACAGTTCGAATGTTCAATTTCGTGATGCAAAGTCATATGATTTTCGTTTTTTTTTTATAATTTGAAAACTATATAATTATGTTAATTTCACTAGTTATTTACAATTGTTGAATAGTAAAATATATGTTGAGCCATATGTTGGTGTTTACTTTTTATTTTTAAAATTTCGTATAAAATAATTTTTAAATATTTTATAAATTAGGCGTTCTCTCAATTTTTAGCTAACTGTTCGAATATCCTAATAAAATGCCCTTGTGCTACAAAACATTCAACGTGTTTCACACACATACGAGCTTGAGACTATACTCTGGCATGTTCCATAATTAGGACACACATATAGAAGGCCTATGTACAAGCCCATGTTTCTGTCTATCGGATTCGTCGTTGAATGAGCTTGTCACACACATTCCACAATCTTCATTATGAAGCTGTGTCAAGAACTATGTTATTTTCCACACACGCAACACAAATATTTTTACTAAAAAGACAATTTCATTGTTTCAGGGCAGGCTTTTTCCCTAATATGAACTGTCCTAAAAAGAGAGAAATAAAGAATCCCCTAGGCTAAAGAACGTACACAACGTTTAAATTGGAAAAAAGTTTCCTTGCATTTATTTTCGGATGCTATAACCATACGCGTATAAGTAAGCTATAGTTAATCATAATTTGTTCATTAATTGAAACTGTGATTCACCATACCGGTGACGCCTCTTGATAATGCACAGAGAACAGAAATCAGTCGGTCAAGCAACAACATTCATATAAAGAAACCAAAATTAATGCTTACAGTTAGTTTGTCGAACGAATTATCATGCGTACAGTTGCTATAATACGTTGTTGCTATAACTAATCAAACATCTGTTCCAATACATCCTAAGGGTGAGGTAGGACTACTTGAACATCTCAAGTTTAAAATACGTCAGAAAAAAGGAACAAAAAATAGCACAAACATGTACACACAACAATTATATCGTGTTGAGCGATCTTCAGGAATATAGCATATTAGGTATATGTATTTGGTAGTATGTTTCACGGCCTAAAAAGGCATAAAAGGCTCAAATAACACTGATGTGGATAGAGAAATACTGAATTTCCAAACTGACGAAAATGAAATTGTTGCAGCTTGGATGTCAAGACGGTATTGGATTGTAAAGTAAACTGTCTATGACACGTAGCACAGGCTTAAGCAACATGAACATTTAAATATGAAATTGATGAAATTTAGAATTATTGTCGCTCAAAGCATGTTGTGAGTTAATGGCAGGTATTTAACGATGTATGTCATAAAGGGGACAATGAACGCATTCCCCAACATAACATAACAACACATGACCACCGGCAAGTGGACTAGCAGAACACCAAACAGGACATTAATTAATTTCAGCTATTCATGCCATACAATCAACACAGGCTGCTTACGTTACATAGTTTTTTTCTTAAATGATAAACACAAAATGAAAGTTGTTAGATGTTATCCGTGCCGTGTGGAGTCCGTATTAGGTCGTCCCTTGTATTTATTTGCTTTACGTTGTAAAAATATATGTTGATTGTTTAAGAAATCTTAATATTTATATAGAGGATTATTCCAAGTGACAAACCATGTACCTTACGTTAGATTTCCTACATGGCCAATAATTATTAAGTTTGCATCCATTTTCTATTTTTCTGGTTTTTCATATAGGATTATTCCAAGAGACAAACCATGTAACTTACGTTAGATTTCCTACATGGCTAATAATTATTGAGTTTGCACCCATTTTTTATTTTTCTGGTTTTCAATTTATTGCTTACATTTTTGTTCATTTGACAAAAATATATTCTTATCTCCGTAAACAAATAATGGGCTGCCCATCTGGTTGATTTCCTATAATGAGGTAGCTTTTTTAGACAATATAATAAGGAACCAGAATAAAAAGCACAGAAAATGATGATCATCTATTTTTGTGTTATAAGGGTTAAAAAGTTTTGAATGATTTAGTGATAAACAAACCTTTAGCGATATATGCTGTTTCAATATTTTTATTTTTAAGTTAGCATAATTAACATTAAGTACATCCTTACAAACACAGAATACATACTTAGCAGACAGCAGTTTTATTCAACTTGAAAACCCGCTAACAGATATAATCCGAAAGTCGTTATTAATTCAAATGAAACAGGTCATAATGCAGTACACATATAGTACCAGGTTAAAAAATAAAAAAACGGAAAAATATTCTGCGGTTTATATTTCTGTGGTGCTGACACTGACCGCATAAAACGCAGAAATAAAGTCAAGCAGATAAAAAACATGACAGCCGGCAAGGAACCAAGCAGGACACATGCACGCGCGCGCACACACACACACACACGCACGCACGCACGCACATATCATCATCATCAACAACAACAAAAGTTAATTATCATTATTTTATAATTATAAGTACTGTGTATAGAAAATATATAATACATTTGTATGTAAAGTACACGTAATCATCTCTAACCTAAATCCAGCAAAAATCAATAGAGTTTCACTTTTAAAAGTTATGTTTTCCTGATATTTCAGTCTAAATCGGTCGAATTAATTTAAAAGTTTCAGTATGTCCGCATGTACGTATTAACTGCAATATAAAACTGTCCCATTGCTAATAAATAAAAACAGTTACTTTCCACAAATTCCATTTCTTTCAAATAAAATTTGACAACAGAGTTCATTTGAAAACACAACGGTTTGGATTTTCTATTTGTTGTCTTTGCTGTCTTTGTTATTAAAAAACTATAATTTACAAACAAATGTTTGTTAAAAAAATCCTAGCTAATTATTCTATTTAAACCACGCAAAATTAACGTTACAATTAAAAGCTTCTGCAAGTCTTGTGCGCCATTTAGGATTCATTGTAGCGTTGCATGAAACTATTTTATGAATCAACTTAATTTGATGAGAATCCGTCAAATTTATTAGAAAAATAAATGTGCAAATTTTGAAGACGCGCAAGCGAAAACAGCCATTCGAAAATATACTGTGTAATTATTTTACATTTCTATCGATAAGCATGTGATTGATAAGAGTTCATACTGTGTAACATTATCAACATTTCAAAATGACAGTTGAAATTTTTGTCTAATATACTCCTAAATATCTAAAGGGTGTTTTGATTAATTAAACATTTTTTACTTTTACTTTTAACAGAAATAAAAATAGGTATCTGTATTTTAAGGAGAAAAGTAAAGAGCAACTAGTTGAGTGAATTCACAAAAACTAAGCATTTTAAATTCAAATCAAATTTATACACACAATTGAAAAAATATGTTTTTTCCCTTAAAAATAGCAGAATAACAAAGCAAAGTCTTGGTTAATTACCATACAAAAAGCAACATTAGTCATACAGTTAATTTAGCAAGTAGGTTTACTATGCATAATAAATAGCAAATTCGTGTATAAGTCCAGATATATTTCAGTTACAACAACAGATTCGTCTAATTTTCATCTCAGTTGCTTTCATCGGATGGTTGTGTCCTTTCCATGGATACCAGACAGGTCCAATGGCCCATCCCGTATTCCCATAGTCACCATTCAGATTTGAAACGTGGCATTTTTCGTACCACCAAGCACCATGGTATCTTACTGCACACTTCTCGTTGTGAGCTACATCGTTATCCTTATCATATGTTGAAAACTTCATCCCATTACCTTTTAATGTAAAGGCGTCACCGGCTGTTCCAGAATACCCACTTGCGTAAAGTTTATATCCAGAATGTTCGTCACCAATAGAGAACTCACGATACTCTGCATAAGCCTTTTGACCGTCTGAGCTTGTTAGGTCTACTCGTAATTCGTATCTTCCCTGCCTTACAATCTGATGGATGTTTTCATTTCCAAGCCAGAAATTTGTTTTAAGATCTCCAAAGCCATCTTTATATTCCTGCCAATTTTTATAAAAGTCCGAGTCAGATATACGCCTTTGTATCACGGTCCATCCTCCCGTAGATGTATCCATGTCACATCTGACTAAAATTCCTTTTCGCTGCTTGTATGGAAATATTTCGTATGTTCCTGTTGAAGTGTAACTCTTTTGCTGAATATCACTACAATCAATCGATTTAGCAAATGTTCCTCCAACTAATGAAGCAAGTATGATTATCTTGAAGTCCATGCTTGGTTTAATCTTTACCTGTCTTTCCTCTGATATACGTTCTACGAAGACGCTCTTAGTTATGAACAAAACCCCCTCAAACTTGTCGTCTTATACCTGTCTTTTCAAGTGCGTCGATTGTGATTTGATAAAGGTACGGATTCATTGCGTAACAAGATTAAAGGACATATTATGTAACAACATGTGACAGATTGAAAATTTAAACGCCAACGTAATTTTTAAGAAATTGGTCTTGAGCAATTGGAGCAAAGTTTAATTGGGGGAAAAAAAACTTTTAAGGACATTTAATGTCCATGGAAATATATCTTACTACATGCAATTTACGATAGAAAGATGTTTAAATATATTTATTCGAAAAAGGAACTTTGAATAAATTTTTTGGATAATAGATAAAAGTTAAATAAGGAACTTCTAATATAGTTCACATCATTCCCAAAAGCCGAGAGCGACGCACATTATGTTGTTATATATGCACGTTTTAATTTCTTTTTAATGCAGCATGCCTCCATATTCGTGCAAATTAAAAAAAAAATAAAATATTGTGATATAAACAAAGTACTTTAAGGCTATAACAATCCATGAACATTACCAAAAGGGTGTCAAAATATCAAAAAATAGCCATTACTTCGTTAGTCACGCAATGGAAATATGGAGTTCATACTGCAAAATTAGAAATAAATCGCACTTTACATGTAAATTATTACTTGAATCCTTTTACTTTTCATATTATAATAGTAAGGTTGATTTTCTTGAAATATTTTGCAAGGAACACATGTAAAAATTAAAATACGTGTTTAATGGAATGGCGCTCTATAATCTCAACGTTTTCGGAATGAGAGTAATTAACTAACAGAATAGATATTACGCAACAATATCATCAATAATTGATACAGTTAATAGTTTTACAAGCATTGTTAGAGGGAGAGAAAAATCCTATATTTTTAAAACAATAAACTGGATAGAAATGTGGCCTTTTTATAATACTCTCAATTTTGTAAAGTGCTGAGTGATTTGATATTGAATATCAAATGACATGATTATAGAGTGTAATTATATCGTTGTATAACAATGCAAGTTTGTAATAGTCGCTTGCTTTTTAAACTGTTAATCGCTATACCTGTATAGTATGACAGAGTTATATCATTCCTTAATAATAATAATAATGTATTTTACGACGAACAGTATTTACAAGTATTGGCTTAGGTTGTCTTAAGACTGTACCATATTTAGAATGGATCCTGTGTCATGTCTATCATGTCTTAAAAATTATGTGTGTTAATTTCAATAGAAGAACAAAAGGCAATACCATATCAAAGACAGTTTATAGTCGCCTTCTATTTTTCATAGTGCTTTATACATATCATAGAACTGCATTCATAAAAAGTAGTCATGACGTAATAAAGTGAATATTTATGACGGCAAATAAACTTGACACTCAGTATGTTAATATTCATCCGTAGCTCCCGTCGAAGTTACTAATTTCTGTAGAACAGCACGGATGAACACTAATATATACATAAATATAAACATGAAATATGAAGTATAAAAATATTTTCAAATTATTCCAAACAAATAAGAAATATGTTTCAAATAAGATGACAAAGGCGATTGAAATAGCTATGCTTTAACTTCATTTACCATTGAAGAAAATGCCAGAGTTGAGGACACCTCGTCCAAACGAAGTATACCTCAATGCATGTCTTTTGGCAAAAAGAAACTGCCGTTCGAACTTTGTTTTATATTAATGACTCACCACATGCAGATTTTTAAACATCGCCAAGTAATAAAATCCTCGATTTATTAATCTTTATCACATAAACTGCGGCGCAGGAGTGTGAGAAAGCCATTTAATTAAAACGATATTACACTCTGACGTGACGTCATTTGCATTATATACAAACATAGCGTAAAACGCGCTAATGATAGCGCTACACTATAAGCGCGTCAATAAACAATGACAATTTTTTTTTTACAGTTTACCCTTCTTATTTTATATATGTGATAAACAGAATATTATATTCGTGTAGATTCAATATTAAATTTATTGAACGAGTTGAATAAAACAATATCATGCTCGCCACAGGCTTGCATAAAATGATTTTATTCAACTCGTTCAATAAATTCAATATTATCCTACACTCATTCAATATCCTCTATGCGCCCTGTACACATTTTAAACCTATTGTACCATTATATACGATATCAAATAGTTTAATAGTAATTCTTCCTTATAATCACTAGGTGTAGTTCTTAATAAAGTAGACGATTAATGATTAGAAATACGTTGCTCAAGGTGATCATGGTCAGTTATTAAGCGTTTTAATGCACGTTTAAAACGTTCTTGCCTCGGGAGCAATTTCAGTTCTGTGGTTACTAATATGCACTATTACCCTGAGAAACATGTTATTTTTGTAAAGTTTCATTTAAATTGCATCAGTTGTACATGTGTAAGAGTAGTAGCCCGGACATAACTTTAAAAATAAAAATCATTAAAGAGATATAACTCTGCCGATGATATGCACAACTAGACTTAATACTTATCATTCCTGTAAGGTTTGGATAAATTGCACCAAGGTCGAAGGACCGATGTACCACAAAAAGAGATCGCTATTAGTTGTAGCATTAATTAGTTGCTGTGTAGATGGCAAAACAAAAATCATAAAGCAGCTAAAACACATTTTTTATTCAAGGGTCATAACTAATCCAGAAATCATGCGTGTGTGCATGCGTGTGTGTTGGTGTGTGTGTGCGTGTGTGCGTGTGTGAGTGAGTGCGTGCGTGTGTCCTAAATGGTGACCTATTCATTTTGATTCAAGCATTTCACTGTATGCGACTAAATATATGTTATTTTTCTTTTCTGATTGAAATTACAAAAGAACGACATTTAAGAAAAAAGTGTTAAACATTAAACGCAACGTGGGTCACAAAAGCTTTACAAGGAAAACTTGACTACCGCACAATAAAATAGCGATTTTAAGGCAGATTTGTAAAGAACATATATCCTGTTTATTCAAATGTTTATCTAAATATAGGAATGAATAGTTTATTCAAAGAAGAAACCACATCATGGGATTTTCATGGAAAATAATATAACAATTTATAATATAAAGGAGACTAGCTCCTGCGCAAGTGTACATTTGATGCTTGTGCGACTTTAGTCTCGTTTGACTACAGGTACATGTACCAGTATGTGATAAAAATATATATAAAATCTCATAAACGTTTATTATCTACCTGAAGAACATTTATTCTATAATTCAATTATACAAATTATCAAATGGCATACGTTTTTGAAAAAACTTTGAAAAAGAAATATGTTTTTTTCCCGTAGTCGAAATCTTAGGATATGTCGTATGTGACTTTTTTTTACTCATTTTGTTTTTCTCGCAAAAGTCCATTATCCAAACAAAAATAACATTTTTTATACAAATCTACACATAATTAATTACCGCAAAATTTGCGTAATTCCAGTGTGCATTGATTCCGACCAAAATGACTTTCATAAACAACTTTAAGCTATTGAATAACAAAGAATTATTGATAGATAAACTAAGAGTTTTCCTAAGCAAGTTAATGATTAGGAAAGGTTGTTTAAATGGAGTATTTTCATATTTAAGGACTTTACATCCTATAAAAGAAATATAATTTGGTTTATTATTAAACCGATCACGATTTAATAGAAAAATATTTGGAGATAATATTTTCGTTCTATCGATGAAATAAAAAGATTTCTGAAAGTTAGTTGTACTCTTTATATATCGATATGTCTTAAAAACCTTATTTAAGCTTTTTTTGTCTCGTTTTTTTTTACAACTTTAAAAATTAAGCCTGCCAAGTCGATGAGTCGCTAGACCGACACCTTTAAAAAAAAATGATAAAATCAGAAACTTTTTTTTGTTTAATTGTTTTTTTTTCTGTTTAAACAATATATATCTTTTAACTTTAAAATTTCATTAAGGGATGTTTTAATTGTTCTTACGAAAATTCTAAACAACTTTAAATGCTTAGTTTATCAGGCCGCTCTGTCGTTATAAGCCGCCAACTTCACGCGGCTGGACCGCCTGACAGCTAAGCCGTCAGCTTCACGCCGCCGCTACGTCAATGGATTTCGAAAATATTTGAGGTAGTATGCAAACTTCACGTAAATTCTAAGTCGAATAAGGGGCATAATACTGTCAAAATGCTTCACAGATTTATCTCCTCCTGCCTAAACGTTTCTGTCTGCAACGTTTCAAAGCCATATGTCAATGAAGTGCATGCTAATAAATTAAAGAAAACAAGCGCGGATCCAGAGGCAGGAGGGAACCCTCTCTTGCTTATTATTATTTCATGAAGTACTATATATTGAACAGCAACAACAAAAAGACTTTTGATATGTATATTCAGATATACGTACATATGAAACGAAAAGTTAAACTAATTTTACGTGCTCTGCGTTCACGTACAATTGATGAAATGGTTGATGTGTCAGGGATCGTAGACTTATACCAAGTTTGGCCACACCTTGAAGTACTGCCTGGCATCGTTAGCGCATAGAACTTACAAGTATGATGATTTCTGCCTGTAGAATGTTATTCAACCCCTGGATTAAGACTTGTCTTAATTCATTGATGTTCTGCGATTGAATAGGCGCTGGTCCGAATTATCCCACAGGTGTTCGATGGGATCCAGATCTGGACTTTTGTCGGGCCAATCATTCATAAACGCAATATCATTCGTCGTAAGGAAATGTACAGTATCTCTTGCTGTATGGCGTTATACAGTATCCTGTTGAAACACAGTTTCGTCTTTTTTGTTTAGTATAATTTATAACGTCAATGTCCGGATATTAACAGTTATTTATGTTGTTGTTTTTATGATAATCTTCAAACAAAAAAATTGACTCATGACGCTGAATCTGGAAAAAAATAACATAAAAACTGGTTAAATTTAATATTGTTATTCAACCACCTTCATCAAAATGGTCTGCATTATATACAAACAAATAAATAAATAGGATCTGTTTCATTATTATGGGCAAACACCCTTTTTATACCCACTGTTTACATCATATAACATTAACATTAATATTTAAATTAAAC